ATGTCCTCTTATGCTCATGTCCTTATGTTCATGTCCTCTTATGCTCATGTCCTTATGTTCATGTCCTCTTATGCTCATGTCCTTATGTTCATGTCCTCTTATGCTCATGTCCTTATGTTCATGTCCTCTTATGCTCATGTCCTCTTATGCTCATGTCCTTATGTCCATTTATGTTCATGTCCTCTTATGCTCATGTCCTGTTATGCTCATATCCTTATGTCCATTTATGCTCATGTCCTCTTATGCTCATGTCCGTATGTCCATTCATGCTCATGTCCTCTTATGCTCATGTCCTGTTATGCTCATGTCCTTATGTCAATTTATCCTCATGTCCTCATATTTTCATGTCCTCTTATGCTCATGTCCTTATGTCCATTTATGCTCATGTCCTCATATGTTCATGTCCCCTTATGCTCATGTCCTTATGTCAATTTATGCTCATGTCCACTTATGCTCATGTCCTCTTATGTTCATTTCCACTTATACTCATGTCCACTTATGCTCATGTCCTTATGTCCACTTATGCTCATGTCCTCTTATGCTCATGTCCTTATGTCCACTTATGCTCATGTCCACTTATGCTCATGTCCTCTTATGCTCATGTCCTTATGTCCACTTATGCTCATGTCCACTTATGCTCAGGTCCACGTGTGCTCATGTCCACTTATGCTCAGGTCCACGTGTGCTCATGTCCACTTATGCTCAGGTCCACGTATGTTCATGTCCACTTATGCTCAGGTCCACGTATGCTCATGTCCACTTATGCTCAGGTACACGTGTGCTCATGTCCACTTATGCTCATTTCCTTTTGTCCACTTATGCTCATGTCCACATTTGCTCATGTCCTCATGTGCTCATGTCCACTTATGCTCATGTCCTCTTATGCTCATTTCCTTTTGTCCACTTATGCTCATGTCCACTTATGCTCATGTCGTCTTGTCCACTTTTGCTCATGTCTTCATGTCCACTTATGCTCATGTCCTCATGTCCACTTATGCTCATGTCTTCATGTCCACTTTTGCTCATGTCCTCATGTGCTCATCTCCACTTATGCTCATGTCCTCATGCCCACTTATTCTCATGTCTTCATGTCTACTTTTGCTCATGTCCTCATGTCCACATATTCTCATGTACTCATGTCCACTTATGCTCATGCCCTCATGTCCACTTATGCTCATGTCTTCATGTCCACTTATGCTCATGCCCTCATGTCCAATTATGCTCATGTCACTTAAGCTCATGTCCACATGTCCACATTCGCTCATGTCCTCTTATGCTCATGTCCTCATGTCCACTTAAGCTCATGTCCACATATGCTCTTGTCCTCATGTCCACATATGCTCTTGTCCTCATGTCCACTCATGCTCATATCCACATGTCCTCTTATGCTCATGTTCACTTATGCTCATGTCCACATATGCTCACGTGATGTCAACATATGCTCATGTCCGCATGTCCACTTATGCTCTTGTCCTCATGTCCACATATGCTCTTGTCCTCATGTCATTTTATGCTCATGTCCACTTATGCTCACGTGACGTCAACATATGTTCATGTCCTCATGTCCACTTATGCTCATGTCCACATATGCTCTTGTCCTTATGTCCACATATGCTCTTGTCCTAATGTGCTCATGTCCACTAATGCTCATGTCCACATATGCTCTTGTCCTAATGTGCTCATGTCCACTTATGCTCATGTCCACATATGCTCTTGTCCTTATGTCCACATATGCTCTTGTCCTAATGTGCTCATGTCCACTAATGCTCATGTCCACATATGCTCTTGTCCTAATGTGCTCATGTCCACTAATGCTCATGTCCACATATGCTCTTGTCCTCATGTCCTCATGTGCTCATGTCCTCTTATGATAAATGATAAATGACCCCCACTTGAATAGTGCCTCTCAGAGTAAGGATTCCAAAGCGCTTTACACTACAGTGTATCATTCATCCATTCACACACTGATGGTGATAAGCCACGATGTAGTCACATCTGCACTGGGGCACACACTTTTGCTCATGTCCACATATGATCATGTCCTCGTGTGCACTTATGCTCATGTCCAATTCAAGTTTATTTATATAGCGCCAAATCACGACCAGAGTCATCTCAAGGCACTTCACACAGTAAACATTGCAATCCAGGACAGTTCATTAAGCCAATCAGAAAAAAGTTTCCTATATAAGGAACCCAGCAGAGTCATTCCAGCAATCCTCATACTAAGCATGCATGCAGCGACAGTGGAGAGGAAAACTTCCTTTTAACAGGAAGAAACCTCCAGAGGATCCTGGCTCAGTATCTTACACACACACACACACACACACACACACACACACACACACACACACACACACACACACACACGCACGCACGCACGCACACACGCACACGCACACGCACACACACACACACGCACACGCACACGCACACACACACACACATATAGCAAGTAGTGTTTCTATGGTTACATTGTGATTTCTTAGTAAATATTCTATTTGGTGAGATAAACTTTATTGTATTTATCCTAGTGAATCTATAATTAAACAGGTAAACTAGTAGTAGCACTTAGAGTAGAAACACTTAGAGAAAAAATACAATAGTAGAGTGTGGAAAGAGGTCAGTGTGTCCTCCAGCAGAATAAAGCTTGGTTTATGCTTGACGCATTCACTTTCCGCTTGGTGATGCGGCTCGCGGATGGAACGAGTTTCACAACTCGCAGCGTTTATGGTTCATGCGGCTCGTCTCTGCGGTGAGCCAATATTCTCCCAAACTGAACGGGGCAGCATGGAGCTCTACGGCATGCATCCAACACTACACCATAGTAGAAGTAGAAATTACCGTTTACAACACGGCATTCCAGCATTTTTAACAGCGTCCTCGTCTTTTCCGACAGTGCGAGCTATTTCTCTCCAAGAACTATTAACAACATGTTGATCACGGTGATCTTTGAGAGCTGAATCATACAAATGTCTGTATTTACGAACCTCTGCCATACTAGTTCTTGCCGGTCCACCATGTTTTTCCGCGTCCGACCGTCCGCGTGGTTAGAAAATATCCTAGGTGCGCGGTGCGAAAATTTTGGGCTGTGCGGACGCGGTGGAGGGGCGTGGTTGTTAAAATGACGCAATTTTGCTGCGCGGAGCCGTGCGGACCTCGCGGACGCGTCAAGCATAAACCAACCTTAAGCCTATAGCAGCATAACTACAGAGATAACTCTGGATAACCTAGCCTTTTAGATGGAGGCATGTTGGAGGCAAGGCAAGGGAGAGCCGTCTTTACCGACTGTACACTCCACCTCCCTCTACTCCCCACTTGTCCAGATCTGGGCTAACATTTTACCATAGGCCCTATCAAATAAACATGTCCACATGTCCACTTATGCTCATGTCCTCATGTCGTCTGTCAGAGGCCTGGCAGCTTGGGGGAGATAGTTTGACTCTGTAGATGTTCCTCTTCTTAGCAGAGCTCTCTGAGGTTGTTCCTGGGATCTGATGGGGTCACACATCTGTCAAGCAGGACAACGGTGCATGGCCATTAATGGGAGGGTTGCAGGTTCAAGCATCAGTCTGTTGTTGTGTCCTTGGGCGAGACACTTCACCCTCCTTGCCTGCTGGTGGGGTGGGAGTAACCGGTAGTGCTTGTATATGACAGCATTGCTTCTGTCGGTGAGCCCCTGGGCAGCTGTGGCCACAAGGTGTGTGAATGGATGAATGATTCACTGCTGTGTAAAGGGGTTGGAGTACTCTCAGCCTCAAGGGAGTAGGCCATTTTTCATTTACTGCTGCGGGTGCACATGAAAGCACTGCAGACCATGAACTGAACCTCGGTCCCGAGGAGCAGGAACATCTGGGACACTGTAATGATCCCTTAAACCCCCAGACCTCTGGTTGAGGTTCTGAACTTGAACTGAAACCAACAGTATGATTGGCTATCAATTAAGTATTTCAAGGATTTTGTTTTTATTATTTCAATTTGTTTACTTGTTTTTATAGAGGGTTGGATAATGTAGACAGAATGTTACCGTTTGATTAGAAAATGAAGTCTAACTCAGGTGTCTATCCTTTATTACAGGAATGATGCACTTGCTCCAGAATGATGAGTTAGAACTGGTGGTCCCAAGCAGATCGTCAGCCCTGATCGCCATGGAAACTGATGCAACCGTCTTTGAGCACATACAGCTAAAGTGAAAGAAGCATGGAGACATTACTGTGGCAGGAAGTGAGAAACTGACAAAGCAGCGTGAGGGAAGCTAATAGTCAGCAGCAGGAAAGCTTCTAGAATCTGGTGATGAGCTCAGGAACATGAACAGTTTGAAGCCATCATCAGTTATGTAACACCTTTTTTGCCTTCAATGATTATTGTTGAATTATACTGCCTCTGGGTTCCAGCCCTGCTGTTTCTCTTGTTTACAACCAGCTCCTGGCATCACTTTATTTTTGCACCTCCCCTCCTGCTCCACCTCTGCTGTTGTCTGGGTTATTTGTTCCTCTCACCTATTTTAGGAATGATTTCCACTTTCCAAAACGGCACCAGGAACAAACAGATGAACTTCTGTAGCGTTGGAAAGGTTTTCTTTGGTATAAAAGCAGCGTCACTGTCATTACTGTAAAAATTAAAAGTTATGAAGATAATATCGTTTCATTCAGTAACAAGTAACAGATGCTATTTCTCACTTTTATCGCACCGATCTTTGTCATTTGAAAGACTGATGGGAAAAAATATGATTCATGTTTAAACTCTTGGGATTTACCCCTGTAACATCAGAAAGTAGGTTTCTAATGCTTTAATAAAGGTGATGTGTCAACAACAGCGTCTTCATTGTCTAAATATAGTGCCCACAATGTTTATCTGGTGCCCACAGCTGTTTTCGCTCTCACTTTTTTTCATGAAGCGTGGCTATAAGAGGTGGTGTGTGAGTGCGGGACAGCAGCAGAGCTCCAGTTTGGTATCATCATCATCACCAGCAGCAGCAGCAGCAGCAGCAGCAGCAGGGGAAAATGGCTGGACATATGTTCTCCAGTCTTTTGCTACTCTGGTCTGTCAGCCACGAGCCTTTAATAACAGGAGGGACATATTTTGCTGCTGAGGTAAGCCCAGGTTCAACACAAAGCAAGGCCTTAAAGGTGAGTTATTTAGTCACCGTGTTGGGAGGTATTACTGGCATCTTCTCACATTTTTACGTGATTTATATTCCTCTGATTTCAAGAAGCAGTCCTGGAGCAAACAAAACCTCTTCACCGTCCCTGCGGATTTGGATGTGACGCTCAGAAGTCTCGATCTGTCAAATAACTTCATCAGGCAGTTGCCCACGCTTGCTTTGCCAGACTTGGAGCAGCTGGACCTGAGCAGCAATCGGCTGGATCTCATCTCTGAGGGGGCGTTTCAGGACCTGGCCCGACTCAAAAACTTGAATTTGTCCAGAAATCAACTGAACATCAACCTTGGCAGCAACAGCAAAGCCCTCGGATCGCTCGGCAGGCTGAAGAGTTTGGACGTGTCGAAGAACGCCTTGAGTAATGACGCGGCAGAACTCTTTCTCAAAAACAAGCCGACTCTTGATCATCTTAAGATGACGGGTAACGCTTTAATAAGGCTTTCACACAGCTTGTTCAGAGAGAGTGGAAGTCTAAAAACCATTACCGTCGACGATAATCTGATATCAGAGATAGCAGAGGGGACATTCGAGCCCCTCAAACAATTAGAAACACTTAACTTGGCGATGAATAATCTGGCACATATATGTGATTTTAAATTGAGTCAGCTCAAATACTTAAATCTCAGCAGGAATTCTGTGGAGTTTTTCGTCACTCGTGAAGATTATCAGTTGTACAGTCTGGAAATTCTTGATCTGAGCTACAACAAACTTCTATACTTCCCAATAGTTCCCAAAATGAACCAACTGAAGTACCTCCACCTGCAAAATAATGCTCTGGGAGGTTATGTCAACTCAGAGGCTGCTATGGTTTCTGAGATCAATGCTCTTTACAATGAAATTGTGAAAAATAGGAGGGCTATCAAAAATTCTTTACACGCTAACTGGAGGCTGATGCCACTGGTTTACATCGACCTGAGCTTCAACCACTTCACTTTTTTCCCTCTTGAGACTTTGAACCTGCTTTCGTCTGTAGAGACCCTTCACTTTAGCAACAACTGTCTTCAAAACATACACTGGAATATTCGACATTATAATGACTCCAGACATGCTCGTCAGCTGTTTTTCCACTCCTTAAAGCACCTCAACCTGCAGAGCAATGGTCTTGTGTACATTTCCCCACGCTTTATCAAAGCGCTCACGCAAATAGAAACACTGAATCTGCAGGACAATTCAGTGCAACCTTGTGCTGAAAATTTCAGTCGGCAGCAAATTAGCCTCAAAGCACCGTGTGCTGCGTTTGGGCAGATGACAACTCTTAAACACCTCAATCTGAGGGAAAATGGCATAAAATTTGTTACGCAGAACTCACTTCAGCGAAACTCTTTAACTTACCTCAACCTCAGAGGAAATCGACACCTTGTGATGCACGAGAGGGCACTGGAAGGTGTGCAATCGACTCTACAGACTTTGATTATTAGCGAGACAAACATGAGCGACCTGACCTTACCCTGTTTGACAGCATTAACCGAGCTGAACATGTCGAACAACAACCTCTACCGGATGCCCAGCAGTTTAAGTTGCTCCCCTTTAAAAGCAATCGACATAAGAAACAACAAATTTAAGACTTTAAATCATTCGTTGATTCAGCATTTATCCAAGAATCTCGCTGTGATGTTTATCAGTGGGAACCAGTTCGACTGCTGCAACAGTGAGTGGATGAGCATCTTAAAGGAGACCCACCTTCCAGACATCAACGAGACCGAATGCTTTACACATAAGAGAAACTTTCTGGTGGCGGAATATCTGAAAAGCCCTTCGCTTTACTGTTTGTTACACAGCGAGGCACAGGGAGTTCATTTTGGACAGATGATCATAATTGTTTTCTTTTTAAGTTTATTATTGACGGGGCTCATCGTGTTCAGCAGGAAGTTCTGTTGCACACAAGGATCTTTGTGTGACATCTAAAACAAACTTTTGCACAGTTTATACAAGTTTCATATGGGTTACATTTAAAGTAAGTAAACTACATGCCCTTGGTGAGAAATCGGAGAACAAACCAGAGTTCCCGCAGACAACTCCGGGGAATTTCACTCTTATCAACAGAAATACTGCTTGACATCCGTAAAGAAACACATTTCCTTCTGATAACATGCGGTGAGAACACCTTGTACCATTTGGATCATAATTTCGCCTCTCACCTTTCAAACTTTCTTTAAAAGATAAATATTCCGGACATCCATTCTCCCATGTTGCTTGGTTGTGATGCATGCTAAATCTGAAAAACTAAAAAAAATACCTTCTGCTATGTCTTGTGAAACACTTGTTTGCAGATAAAACGGTACCCCTAACTTATTTTAGTCATATGAATCCTTATGCAGAAATTACTTAATCAAAAAATATATATATATTAAAAAAACTTATATTAGTTTCTATACGACCCTATCTGACTGAATATATCTCCTAAAATAGCAAACGTTCTTTTGTTTTTACAAGACACATTTTCATGCAAAGCACCACATCCATCTGAGTTTTGTAATACACGAGGATTAGACTGTGGGAGATGTTATTCTGCTACATAATAAAAATCCTGGGTTGATGACCACAATGTGTTGGCAGTCCTCATTTATGAATCTAAATTCCTCGGTTTAATACTTACAAAATAAATCACTGAGGTTGGAACTGGAACCGCTGCCATTATTCGGAAATCCCTGCTTTCAAATGAGCAACTGCAGTGCCACTGAACCAGAAAACACACGCAGCGAGGTTACTGCCACTTGTAACTAAGTAGTCACATTAATCCAACTGAACTTGGATCAACTGTGAAGCAATGACTTAATGATATACTTAACCCTATGAAATTTAGTGAGACTAAACTTTATACTTGAGATGTGTTGGTGCCCATAATAGAGCCATTCCAGTGGCGCCACAGGCATCCGGACCGCCGGAGTACTTATCAGCCGGTTCTTGAGCCACATCACAAAATCAAATGTGTTTACCGGCTCAACCTGAAAGCTTTCTATATCAAGTAGCAGCTTAGCAAGTTCAAGCAAGGGCGTCTGAACGAAAAGAACACTGTGTTGGTGTTAGGTGTGAAACCAGAGGAATGCAAGCATCCATTAATGTTCATTATTCTCGGTAGTAAATGCTAGCTGGCAAGTCCACATCAGCAGCAGCTTGTTCAGTAGCACATAGTATAAAGATTTGTTCCATCTGAGCATCATAATATATACGAGACAATTCTCAGAGATACTAAACCGCCAAGTGTGAAGCAGCCAGGATGAGGATCAACACCAGGGCTGCCATATCTCACGTGTCATCTTCACACGCCCTTGCGCCACACCTATGACTTTTACGCTGAAAAAGCAACACACACACACACACACACACACACACACACACACACACACACACACACACACACACACACACACAACACACACACACACACACACACACACACACAACACACACACACAACACACACACACACACACACACACACACACACACACAGTGAGGTCCTGCTCCTCCACTTCAAGAGGAGCCAGCTGAGGTGGTTTGGGCATTAGGTTAAAATGCCTCCTGGACAGCTCCAAGGCTAAGTGTTTCAGGTCCTGTTGTGAAAACGCTCCCTGGTTAGACTGGGTCACGTTTTCCAGGCTGGCCACGCCTTGGAGTCCTACCGGTGAAGGAGCTGCTACGCCTGCGACCCTAACCCTAATCCAGATTAACAGATAGATATGAACAAACTACTCAAGTTAATGTATTATTGTCATTAGCACTGCAAAGCTGTAGAAATGTTAAAGACCAAGTTCACTGAGAAAATTTTTTTACCTTTTATTTATTTATTTTTTAATCTGATCAGTCACTCTGAGTTTCACATGCAGGCTAAAGTGAAAATAGTCACCTACCCCTATTTTCTGCATTAGCTGCTGATAGAAAATAGAAGGGGAATTACTCAGATTAGAAAAGCCTGACAGACCTACATCAAACTGTCACTTAGGGACAGCAGTAGCTCAGGAGGTAGAGCAGGTTGTCCAGTAATTAGAAGGTTGCAGGCTCAATCCCGTGTCCGACCAGTGAATTCTGCTGTTGTGTCCTTGGGCAAGACACGCCAGTGCTCTGCAGCCTCGCCTCTGTCAGTGCGCTCCAGGGCAGTTGTGGCTACATCCTAGGCCATCCCCACCAGGGTGAGAATGTGTGTGTGAATGGGTGAATGACTGATTGTGTTGTGAAGCACCTTGGGGGGTTGTAGAACCCTAAGAAGGTGCTATACAAATACAGGCCATTTACTATTCAGACACTCCTCTTGGCTGGCGACGGGGAAGGCTGTAGTTAATTTAGCATCCAGAAAAGAGTAGAGTGTGTCTCGACTAGTAGAAGCTAACTATTAGCATTAGCAACTCCATCACACAGCAAAACTCCTTCGGGCTTGTTATTTGTGAAAAAGAAGCATCAACATTGCAAAGACAACAAAGTCCATGGTCCAGTCATGTTGCTGTTATCCAATTAGCAGCGATGTGTCTGAATATCAGGGAATACTCAAAAACCTGCCATGTTCTATTTCGTCTAGTCTTAGCCCTTAAGCTAGCTGCTATTGGAAGGATGATCTCCGCATCAGCCAATCATGAAGAGCTTAAATGTACGCCCACCAATAGTGGGCCCCCTCGTGGTATATAACCGCAGTGACCCCACTGCTCACCCCCTTTTTCTCTTCATGCCAAGCTTGAGAGCTTTATTAAAGAGCAAATATTATCTCAAAAGAGCAAATTATCCGAAGACGACTTACCAGCCATGTCCAGCGACACCAGACCCTGCCCGACCTGCCAGACGGGCTCCATTTCCAGCGGCGACCTGCACGCTAAGTGTGAGGTCTGTCTCGGAGCTCACCACGCTGGCCTGGCCTTGACCCCGCAGGCCTCGTGCCCGTTCTGTGCCGCTCTGCCCGTGGCGGAGAAGATTCGCCGGGTCGAGTACTTCACTCCCGCCGCCGACGAAGAATTTCCGGTGGCTGACTCCTACCCGCTGGACAAGGCTTTGGTTTTCTTCGACGCCGGTCAGGAGCCGGCTGGCTTCAACCGGCTGGATGACGTCACTGACAGCGAAAACTACGATGAGGCGGCGTCCCTCCTAGACATAACGGAGGTCGACGAGCTTCGCTCAGCGGGTCCTTCTGCCCCAGTGGCTTCTCGCTCCTCCCTGCCAGCAGTAAGAGCACTGCTCCAGGAGCTGCCCGCCATCATTTCTGCGTCAGCAGCCCGCAAGGGGCTAGCTGTGCCAGAACCGGCCCTGCCTGAAGCGGATGATTTGGCGGGAATTTTCGGGGCAACTCAGACACGCTGTCCAGACCCTGTCTGGCCGCGCTTCCCCGCTGCTATGAGCTGCTGGTCTGCCGCCTTCTCCGAGCCTGCCAAGCTCAAGGCGCCAGTCTCCACATATGCGCCCATCACCAAGGTCGAGGGGTTTTCCGACCAAGGCTGGCCGTCCGTTCCTCCACTAGAGCCGGATTTGGCCTCGCTGTTCGGCGCCAAGAACCACCTCGCTGGCCCGCGAGCTGTTCCCGCTTCAAAACATGACCAGCTGCTGACGCGGCTCACCGACCGCGCACATCAGTGTGCCTTTCAGACCGGCGCTGCAGGGAATAACATCGCCCTTCTTGCCTTCGGCGTCTCCAAGATGATGGAGGAGCTGGAAGCTCCCGAGGAGTCGAAAGCCGTCATAACTAAGACTGCTGATGCCATCCTCAATCTGTGTGCTGCTGTGCTCACCGGTTCTGCTCGCATCGCTGCCTGGCAGACCCTCATCCAGCGAGCGATCTGGCTGAAGGCCCTGCCCTCCATTCCGGAACATCTGCAAAGGGAGATGCTGGATGGCCCCATCACCACCGATGTTCTGTTTGGTCCCCATCTTAGGGGCGTCATTGAGAGGGCTCAGAAGACGGCCGAACTATCGGCTACGGTGCGAGACCTGGTCCACCCTCGGTCAGCCTCGCACTCCGGCCGTTCAGCCAGAGGATGGGACGAACGGCGCGGAAGCTTCAGACGTCCAGCTGCACCGCCCGCTCCACGGAGCCGGCCTCCCGCTTCGGCTCCACATCAGCGGGACCAGCGAGATGGCGGACAACGGTTCCGGCGGGGCCAGCAGACGCCGTCTTGGCAGTCCCAGGTGCAGGAGCCTCGCCGAAAGCAGCCACGGAAGTGACTCTTTGGGGGGAATGTGTGTGTTACTGATTGTTCTGATGTTGTTGGTTTTGAAATAAAACCCAAAAAACGTCACTCAAAGAGCTCAATCCTACAGTCCTCCGCAGAATCCTCTGCCGAGTTTTCACACATGTTCCCCACACCAAGCACTGCTGCACACACACATGTTCCTGCAGGTAGTCATAATACACGGCCAGCCGTAAGGGTGCGCTCCATTTGCGCTCTGGCCCCAGCATCCGGCCAGGCCCAACTCGTCCCGCTCTCCCCACGCCGTTGGGTGGGGCGGGATGTCATGTCGCTGTCTCGACCACGCGCGGCGGCACAGTGCGCGGCTCCATCCGCTAGCACTCTGTCGCCCCCGTGCACAGGCCCGGCTCCCACTCGTCCTTCACTCTCGGACTCCACGCTCCGCGGTGTGGACCAGCCTGTTCCAGCTGTTTCGCACTTGCCCTTTCGAGCGCAGCCCTCCATGGGTCGCCCCCAGTTCTCTGGTACGGGCGACGGCGGTAAGGGCGCATGCACAACCCTCAGACGTTGTTCACGTGACCGCGCACACGCGTCCATTGTCGGAACGCACGCACGTGTGGCGCCGCCTTTGCATCATGAGCAAATGGATTTCGGACACCATTCATTGCGGTCACACACTTCATTTTCAGGCCACTCCACCTCCCTTCAACGGGATCGTGGAGACGACGTTCACATCGCAAGTACAGTCTCAGGCGCTAGAGCTGGAGCTGCGGGAACTTCTGTCCAAAGACGCTATTTCCCGAGTCCCTCGCGGACAAGAACTCTCGGGTTTCTACTCCCGCTACTTCGTAGTACCGAAGAAGTCGGGAGGAATGAGGCCGATTCTCGACCTGTCCCTGTTCAACTGCTCCATAGCAGTAATGCATTTCCGCATGTTAACGATGAGACAAGTCCTGGAATATGTGCGCCCCGGGGATTGGTTCACGTCAATCGACCTGAAAGACGCATACTTCCACATACCAGTAGTTCCAAACCACCGGAAGTTTCTGCGTTTTTCGTTCAAGGGAGTTCAATATCAGTTCAATCGCCTCCCTTTCGGCTACTCGCTAGCCCCGCGCACTTTCTCCAAATGTCTGGAGACCGCGCTGCAGCCACTGCGCACGGAGGGAATGAGGGTCTTATTTTACCTGGACGATCTTCTCCTGTGCGCTCGGTCCGAGGACGAGGCGTCACAGCAAACCAGGAGGTTGACAGAGCATCTGTCAACCCTAGGGTTTTCTATAAACTGGGAAAAGAGCTCCATCCTTCCATCCCAGTCGATTGTGTATCTCGGGGTGGAGTTGGACGCCTCCCTAATGAGAGCACGTTTGTCGCCTGCAAGAGCGGCAGATCTCTCCACGGTGATCTCCCGTGTTCAACCCCGCAAGATCGTGAGAGC